AACAAAACCAAACCCTTCCCGAAACAAATCACCAAAACACCCGACTAGCGCTCCAAGCTATGTCACTACTCAACATTCATAACTTCACATAAGACAATCAAAGCAAATCTTTTGTATAAATATAAGAAAAATCATTCTTTTGTTCATGAGACATTTCTCAAAGATAATCAAATTTTCAACGTTGACATTCAAAAATAAATTTTGCATTTTCCATGCGAAACTCAAAAGTTTTGTAAACATTTTTCATAAACCCATAATACATAAACATCTCCAGTTTATTTGCCTAAAACTACTCGTTTGGAAATTCTCATAACATTCAAATTAAATCAAATCCTCAACATTTTCCTTTTTAACAGCGCCCTTAGAAGGCCAAAACACTAGGAAGAATTTATGTTCCAATCTATTTCCAACATAACACCCACCACTCACACGGTGATGCCACAACCAATATAAAACATAACATTTCTATAATAATAGTTAATAGAAATAACAACCTTGCTATCAACACATAAGGCATAAGAAATTCATGATTTTGGAATTTCATCCTACCTTCCTTTACTTAATCAATTTAAAATCATAAACATGGCCCATTGCCTAGCCGAGCTATTAAATGAGACTACAACTCATATATAAACATTTCCATACTTCAATTGATACACAAATTTTCTGTATCAACAACATGTAAAAAAAAACACTTCCAAAAATCAATAAGCACACATATAGTGGTGCTAATGGAGTCCAGCCCCTATCTCCTCCCAAACAATATCCGGTTTAGAGGTCCATCCCCTATCTTCCCCTAAACCGTGGAGTACATCCCCTATCTCCTCCCAAACAAAATGAATATGCAATGAATCAAACACTTGTCATATACAGCACACAGTTGCTGTGCTTTATGGATATCTCTTGAGAGTTGAGTGCTGTGAGAAATAAACACTTTCTGTAGCTTATTGTGGGTTGAGTGAATTTAGACCTCAAATTGTTTGTACTAATGTTTACATATATAGTAATTTTTTATATGCAGGCTAAGGATGCTGTCATTGAGTGGTGTGAGTTCCTATACTGTGGGTTGAGTGATGTGAGGTCCTATATTGTGGGCTTTATTATTATGTTCCTGAAGTATGGTTCTCTTCCTTCATTTGGTTGTAATTTCTTCGAGTTACACAATGCAGGGTTTACTACAGAGTGTAAGCAAGGTATAGGTTGCATGGGAGGTCAGCTGCGTCTCCATGGTAATTGCTAGTTTGCTGGTGCAAAGGTTACGGGTTCAAGAGTTTGCTGGTGCGTGGTTATGGCTGCTTGTAGCGCCTCTGGTGGGAAGATTGTTTTTCTTTTCCGTTATTTTAATTTATTATGGTTGGACATTGTAGATGGTTTGCTGTGTTTCACTCCTTTTGGCCTATCCGTGCGGGATGTGCATGGCATTTCTGTTTTTTTTGTTCTTGGGTTTCGAACTGTGGTTTATGGTACACATGTGAGTTGTGCATGGTCTTCATTCGACATGTTCTTCTTTTGCAAAGGAGCAATATCTGTGGATAGCATCCTAGGTCATCTGCTATATGGGACAGCAGCGGGATGGACCTTAGCTATTTTGTTGACTATGGCTGCTGGGAATGCCCATGATGTGATGGACGTATCGTTTTTTATTTATTTTATTATTTGGTTTTTAAAGCCTGATGAATGCTTGTTTTATTTTTTGGTCTCATGCTTTTACCTGCGGGATGTGCATGGTTAAGTTGGTCTGTATGGTCCCGAACCCGTTCGATTGTGTTCATCTTTCCCATATGTTTATTATTGGATACATGAACATTTTTGTATGCTCGGGTCTGTGTCGGTTTGTGTGGACAGTTCATTAGGCTTTGTATGTTTTTCGAATTTTGGCTCGTTTTCAGTTTCTTAGCTTGTTGATCTAGGCTGTTTTTTTGTACTTATTGGTTAGGGCCTGGGGCATGCCCCTTGTATATGTGTAATTTTCTGTGTTTTTAATTTATGACTTATTCACCCAAAAAAAAATTAATTCAACAGTCAAAATCAATGACTTAACCAATATGGTTAGTTTCAGTTTTCCCTAATCCACATGCAATGTCTACAACAATCACGACTATTCTCAAGGTGACCAATGCCAACCAAAACCCGATGCCAACAAGTTGACTAATCAACTCAATAAACCGCCACACTTAGTAAACGACACACTGATGTGCCACTCAAAACCATTTACCCCCAAACACGGAGTTCCCTACACAAACCCCCAAATTTTGGAATCTCACCGGATTTCCTAAAATCGAACCACACCAACACTGCTTTTAAGGGAGTCTTCACCCCCAAGCCTACATAGCAAGCCTACCCTTCTCCTCAAACTCAAGACTGACATGGTCAACCTCAATCACCCAATCCCTAATACAAATGACAATTTTAACCAATGCTACCCTCGTTATCCGAGGACACAAACTGATTTTCCTTTCAAAGATTGCCGTCAGCATCCACTCAAGAAATTCTCTTCCCACTCACAAACCATACCCAATAACCAATAACACCACTAACTCATTTCACCCACACATAGTCACCAACCGATAACTAGTCATAATACGAACACCACCCAAATACATAACTGATGGGATCACAACAAACTCATTAACTAGCAAAGCCCAAAACACTAATCAACACCCCGGTACCATTTCCTCTAACCCGAGATACAAATCTCATGCTCCCTCGTGTAGACATCCTATAAAGTCCAAAAACAAAACCACACTTACTGCACAACACAACAGCCTTCCCCGAGGCATACACTTACCACCCTAAACATACATTTCTATTGCATATAAACATTTAAACATTTAAACACATAATCGAATCAAGTCCATAAAGATAGTCACTCATCCCGGAACTCTCAAGGAATTCCTATCAGAAACCACGTTGATCAGGCGTGTTTCCAAGAGGACCTCAAAGCAAGTTCACCGGCTACGAGTACTATCCAGAAAACTTAATCCCATGCCCACATAAATGCAACATACAAGTCCTAACATTCATGTTAACTATATACAACGTCCTCACCACATGAAGCAAACCCACTGTAGTAAAAACTACTTCCCACGAGCCCAAAGTATTCAAACCCGGCTCGCTCTGATACCAAGTTGTCACCAGATCTTTTGAGCCAGCTGTTAAGCACTGAAGCTATCGGATTAAAACAAGCTTTTAGCTTTGGGATTCAGAAAATATATCCCCACAGTAATTTTAGGGCTTTCTCTTCTTTCAACAATAACATGCTAATTTTACTCTCTAATTAGTCCAAACCATAGTCAGTGATAACAAAACCATTCTCAAACAACCAACCCTAGGTTCCCCTCATGATTTTCAAAAAATCCAACACGGATATGATTTTCATGCAATACAAAACTACCACATGTCTATCTATAGACGGAGTATTGAAAAGGAACAAAGAAATCCCTACCTCAAATGGAGAGACCAAATTGAGAAGATGAAGGCCAAAAACCAAAGTGCTCCAAATCGCCAAACTTTCAGATTAAAAATGAAGCCCTCAACCCACTCTACCTTTCTTACAAAAGACTTAGTATAGATTTACACTAGAGGGAGATGAAAACTTAGAGAGAAGGTGTGTAGGGAGAGAGAGAAGATGGTTCTAGGGTTTTGAAATCAAAAGGGAGATGAACAAGTGGTATTGAAAGGTTGTTATTAAAGCCCATTAATTGGAAAATAAAAGGACAAGTTAGAATTAAATGAACACTAACTAGCATTAAATGAACACTAACTAGAATTAAATGAACACTAGTTAGAAATATGAATGGACAAGTTTGTCATAAAATCCCACTAATGGAATATGAATGGATCACTAATTCGAATTGAATGAACCATTATGAAAATTTAATAGACACTAGTTGGAATTAAATGGACATCAACCCTTGGTTTCCAAACACAACTAACCTGTTTTAAACCTACCCAACACGACCAAAGACTCATATACAAAGAGTAAAGGATGGAAACAGACCTCACCCTCGGATTTTCCAGCGGCAGCTTGAAGTAACAGTCCTTGCTTGTGCCATGACAAATTGGATGTCCTAAACAATATAGAAGGACCTGCCAGGTGAACAATGATAAGTAGAAAACTTGATTAGTGAGGCCCACTGTAGAAATACATAGAACACACACATTATTTGGGCTCACCCCACTCAACCCACAATATAGGACCTCACCACACTCGGAATAAGCTTCCTTAACCTGCACATAAAGAAATACTATATATATAATGGTAAGCTTGTAAAACATATAGGCCCTAACATCACTCAACCCATATATGTTCAAGGAAATTATGACTATACCACACTCAACCCACAACTATAATCAATCTTCATAAAATCACCCCTACACAGGCAGCAGATAATTAAATAAACTCTCAATATCATACTCACAGCCACTCAACTCACAATATACTGAACTCACATCACTCAGCAGCCCTCCCATCACTGCAAGGATGGGGCTTCAAGATAGAGTTAAGAAGGTTCCATTGAGAGAGGAACCAATGATCACCTGTTGCACAAGGAATATTGCTAACAGATAGCATTCTATTTCTAACCATTAGCACAATAGAATTAATGATAACCTCAACTGGTTTACATTCTTTGTTGAAAATACGATTATTCCTTTCAATCCACACATGATACACAGTACAGAGAAAGGAGAGTCTAGTAATGGTAGATTTCATAGACTTTCCTTTGTGCTCTCTGTTGACAAACAATTCCAGGCCAGGGGACCTGTTGCCATTGAACATTGCATTTACCCTGCATTGTATGCCAAATTCTGTGAGTAAAGTTGCAGTCGAAGAAGAGATGAGGATGACTTTCATCATAGTCAAGGCAGAAAGGGCAAGTTGAGCTAGTAGAGATACCAAACAACTGGAGTCTATCACTAGTATTCAACCTATGGTAGATAGCCATCCAAACGACAAAACTGACTTTGGGAATTGTGGTATAGCCCCAGACCAAATTGTACTAAGGTACAGTATCCTGTTTATTTCTCCACAACTCCCAAACAGATTTAATAGTGAACACACCATCAGTGTTTAAAGACCAGACAGTTTTGTCCACCTCTAAAGGATTAGGAAGACAATTGTTAGGGGTTTGGGAGGTTAGTTTCCTAAGGTCCCAAGAGCTTGGAAAAGGCCACTTCCAAAGACCCCCAACAATTATTTGACTCACTTTGGAATCACCATTTAAACCAGAGTCATACATGATTCTGTCACCATATCTATCCCAAAGAGGGCCTAAATGATACCAGTTATCATACCACAGAAAAGTATTTTGACCATTACAAATCCTATGTCTAATAAGAGGGTAAATAACAGGCCTAAGAGAGAGAATTTTCCTCCAGACCCAAGAAGGGTCATTAGGGATTTTGATTTTCCAGAAGCACTTACCCTTAATAAGGTAAGATTTAACCCATTGGCACCACATAGACTTTTTTTTTTTTGGGTAAGTAAGTCATAAAATGAAGACAATGAAAATTTACAAGTTTACAAGGGACATACCCCAGGCACACCCAACAACAAACAAATAAAAAATGTAACCAACATAACTACCACTGTACCCCCCTAAGAAGGGGGTAAACAAGAAACTAAGAACACAATAACCCAACTCTGCCCATATATCCTTTTTATCCTCTAGTAACCCTATCATCAAAGATAATAGATGGGAACTTGAGGTGGATATATGGGCAAAGATATACATAAAAACACCATAAAGCTAATAAACATAACAGACACTTTAACAAAGCAACAACCCTCACGCCGAGACAAAAATGATACTCAACCCCACAAGCCCCCAGTCTCTACTGCAGATAAAACATGGAATCCAATAAGCATCCCACTCCTCACCGCCGTGACATCCAAGCCACTTAACCAAAGCCGTGACGGAGGATAAAATATACCCCATGAGAAAACCCAGCAAAGTCACATGAAGCTAGCACGGTCAAAAACCATAAGCCACGATCTAAGGAGTTGAAGTGAACAGCAATAACCCCTCAGCAACAAACCAATACACAGCCAACAAAATCATGAGATCAATCATCACATCCCCCAGTCCCTTCCTTGGTAGATCACAAGCCTCAAACCCCATGGCAGTGTGCCCTTCACTCCATGTCAGGCGTGGCAACGCGATCAATTAAGACGGGTCACATGAAGACAAGAAGCGACCAGAAAACCGGTAGCTATCCTCCCAGTGTCTAACTCGTCTGGTTATCGAACCACAATTCCCCATAGCAGTGACTCCCCAATCAACTCACTCCTCAAAACCACCCTCATATCGAGTCACATGAGGATCACACAATCAATCATCATAAATAATCAACTATACAAGATCCGCTGCTAAGAGACTAAACAAAAATAATTTCCCAAAATGAACCCATTAAGCAATGGTCCAAAATAAAAACCTGCCCGCTGATCCAATACACTTGAACACCCAAAAACTTGGGCCACAAAAATAAAGCGGCACCAATAAAAACGTGGGCCACAGTGAGTTGTCTGAAAGATTTACAATATAAATTGAGCCCACACGTGGCCCACCAACAAAATAACCCACGGCTTAACAAACTTGCACCAGCCCAAATCAATAGCAAAAAATCGTGGAGCCAAACATGTTTTGCTATGGCAGCCTTATTCCAAACCTCCATGGATTTAAAACCCAGGCCTCCCTCTTTTTTAGGTGTGCAAATTTTATCCAAGCAATCTTCGCACCATGCTTCCTAAGATCAGTACTAGACCAAAGAAAGGATCTAAGAAGACTTTCAATCTCCTTAATAACTTTCTTAGGTAAAATGAAAAGAGAAGACCAAAAAACTTGCATAGAAAACAAGATAGTCTGGATGAGTTGGGCCCGACCAGCATAAGAGAGAAGTTTATTGGTCCAACTATTAATCCTTTTAGTGATCCTGTCAACAAGTTGTTTACAATCAGACGCTCTCAATTTAGTGGTGATGAGGGGCACTCCAAGGTATTTGACAGGTAAAGTCCCCTCAGTAAAAGAGGCAACATTAAGAATACTAGCCCTCAGCTCCTGATTACAGCCAGAGAAAAAAATGTTGCTCTTGCTAGGATTGGGATTGAGGCCAGAAAGGGAACTGAACTCCGCCAATCCATCCATTATCATCTGAACAGTGTTAACATCCCTTTTACTGAAGATCATAAGATCATCAGCAAAGCAAAGGTTCACTATTCTGGTTTTTTCACATCTCCAATGAAACTTGAAGAGAGGAAGCTTTGATTTTTCATCCAAGATCCTAGCAAGGACTTCCATGGCCAAAACGAACAGATAAGGAGGGGCTAGTCATGCAAGCTTTGATCCAAGAGATCATAATTTGGGGAAAGCCCATGGCCGTAAGAACATCAATGATGAATTCCCATCTAACCGTATCATAGGCTTTCATAATATCAACTTTCATAGCACACTTAGGAACAGGAGAGTTCTTATGGTAACCTCTCATAATCTCTTGAGATAAGAAGATGTTATCTGAGATTCTCCTCTCCTGCACAAACGCAGATTGGACGGGATCAATTAGATCAGGGAGGACCACTTTAACTCTATTAGCCATCTTGGCTATGCATTTATAGATAGTATTGCAACAGGAAATAGGTCTATAGTCCCTAACTTTCACCGGGTTAGGAATTTTAGGAATGAGAGCAATGGTAGTATTGTTGATTTCGGAAAGGAGTTTCCCAGATTCAAAGAAGGTTCTTATGGCCTGGGTAATATCTTTACCAACAATATGCCAAGTGCTCTTAAAGAAACCGACAGAAAAACCGTTAGGACCAGGGGCCTTATTAGCTTTTAAGGACCAAAAAACATCCTTAATTTCCTTGTCAGAGACAGGGCTAGCCATCTTAATAGCTTGATCAGAAGTGACTCTAGCATGAACCATATCTTGAATTCTACTAGAGCTACTATACTGGTCCTGAGAAAGAGTGCCTAGAAGCTTAGAGAAATAATCAATAAAAGCATCATGAACTTCCTCAGGTTTAGACGAAACCCTACCACCCTCCATCTTAACATTAAGAATTTTCCCTCTATTAATGTTACTCTTCACAGATCTGAAGAAGAATCTGCTACTCTTATCTCCCAGGCCAAGCCATTGGACTCTAGACTTTTGGTGGGCCAAACTCTCCTCGACAGCCCTAAGATCCACATACTTTTTAAGAAGACAAGGATCTGAAAAGTGCTGTTACTAGGATCTTTGTCTAATTTCCATTGAATGGAATCCAGCTCAGCTTTGGAAGCCAAGACACGAGTTGAAATATCACTAAAATCCTTCTTGTTTAATGCTTTTAGGATAGGTTTCAGACTCCGGAGTTTTTGGCAAACTCTGAACATCGGGACACCCACAACATACTGATTCCAGTCCTTAGAGACACTAGGAAAGAACTCTTCGTGCTTAGCCCAGAAATCAAAATATTTGAAAGGTTTTTTGAAGGATGGGGCCTTAGCAGAGACAGCAACAACCACAGGGGAATGATCAGAAATACTAGAGGGGAGAAACATAGCATCAGAGGCAGGGAATTAGTCAATCCATGACTCATTGACCAGAACCCTATCAATCTTAGTGGCTATATAATCACCCCTAGTCCTCTTGTTAGCCCAAGTGAATTGACACCCACCATAAGATAGATCAACAAGCTCAGCAGAAAGAATATAGGAATTAAAAACCTCTTTCTCACTATTCCACTCTATATACCCCCCAAATTTTTCATAACTGTATCTGATAGCATTAAAATCCCCAAGAAAAGTTAAGGGAGTGGCAGAATTTAAAATGGATGAACTCAGCATATAGTCAAAAAATTCTTTCCTCAAAATATTACTGTTCTCAGCATAAACAAAACAAGTTTTGAAAACCTGGGCCTGAGATAAATCATTAATTTCACAAAAAATATGCTGATCAGACAAAGTGATCAAAGTAACATGTCTGGTTCCTTTTTTCTGGTGGCGAGTAGTCTATGTGGTGCCAGTGGGTTAAATCCTATTTACTCAAGGGTAGAAGTTTTTGGACGGTCAAAATCCCCCCTGACCCTTCATGGGTTTGGAGGAAAATATTGTCTCTTAGGGACTGGATGTCTCCTCTAATTAATCACCAAGTTGGTTGTGGAGATTCTACATTCCTTTGGTACGACAATTGGCACCCTCTTGGTCCTCTATGGAATAAGTTTGGGGACAGGATCATGTATGACTCTTGCCTCAACAGTGAGACCAAAGTCAGTCAAATCATCAATGGTCACTCTTGGAAGTGGCCTATTCCTAATTCTTGGGAAATTCAGGAGTTGATCTCATCTACTCTTGAATGCTGCAAACCTAACCCTTCCAAGTGTGACCAAGTTATCTGGAATCTTACTACTGATGGTCAGTTTTCCATTCACTCAGCTTGGAATCATTGGAGACGTAGTTTTGGTAGAGTGGTTTGGCATAAACTCCTTTGGGGCCCTCACAGGATTCCTAAAGTCAGTTTCATTGTCTGGGTTGATATCCATAACAGGTTGTACACTGGTGATAGGCTAATGCTGTTTGGTTTAGCTCCTCATTCTCAGTGCCCATTCTGCCTTGATCCTGGAGAAAGTCATTCTCATCTCTTTTTTAAGTGCAGTTTTACCAATAGAGTTTGGGGTGCTATTGAAGGCAAATGCAACATGATGTGGCCTGCTTTGGATTGGCCTGATATTGTTACATATGCTACGAAGGAGGCTAAGGGTAATTCTCTTAGGGCTAATATTCTGAGCAATGCTTTCTTGTGCTCTATTTACCACATCTGAATTGAGAGAAATAATCGTGTTTTTTTTTTTTGGGTGAATAAGAAATAATATAAAACAGAAAGATTTACAAAAATACAAGGGGCATACCCCAGGCCCTAACAACAGAAGACAACACAAGCCTCAG